TGAAAGAGCTACTGGAACATCGGCAAACGTGAAAAAAAAAATGCTTGCAGTTTAGCTCCTAAATGCTTAACACATGAACAGTACACAGTGCAAAGCTTTTGCCAAAGTGTTTATATCAGGAAAGTGAGGTGATGTGTGGCTTCCTGGTTCCCGCAGTGATAGAGACACATCGGTCCTCAACATGGCACCAGCTGTACCAGAGTAAAATGTTTTTGCATATAGGAGTTGCCTTTACCCACCTTGTTTTGCAGCTTAGCTGGAAAAAATGTTCAGCATAAAACTTGGCCGTATTCACCCAAAAGGCCATTTTTCATGACCAAAGTGAAACAGTCAGGGAAAGTGGAGCAGGTTGAGATACATATCTGGCAGTACGGACACTCCAGGTCTGGCTGGTGTGTTGGGCCAAGCCCAGACTGTGGCAGGAAGGGATCATGCACCCACTGTTGCCAGCTAGTTGCTAACTCAGGTTTAGCTCTCAGTGACCTTATCTTGGTTTGGACTATCAGGTATGCTTTACAGTATGCCAGACCAGCAACAAAGTCTTGGATGTGAATACGTGCAGAGGTTGACAGACTGGGTTAGTACACATCCATTGGCAAATGTTGCTCATGTTCTCTGAAAGTTGAGGTTCACCAAAGCAAATGGAGGCTGTGGAAGGAAAAAAAACAACAAACAAACCAAAACCACCCCATACCCCAAAACCAGCGCTTGACTGGATCTGGTGCACCAAAGCTAGACTTAAGGCTTATGACACCCAGGCTAAAAGGGGTATCCTCCTGCAGCAGGGCTGTGCGCAGGAGGGTTTCCTGTGAGCTCAGGGCATCACTTTGTCCTTTCCCACAAGCAGCAGCATGGCCGCAGGCCACCCATACTGCTGCCTGGATGCAAGTAGCCCAATCCAGCCTGCTTTAACAAAAAAACAGGCCTTACCCAGTCAGGGGGCAGGCATCTGCTGGGACTGCAGGATCGGGCCACAAACCCTGGAAATGAAACGCAGCTTAGCCAAAGGCGATGGGAAAACAAAGTCACCTGGAAAGAGTTAGACGTTCAAACCGGGGGGCTGAGGGGGGGACCCTGCTTTAATCTTTTTATAGTATAAAAATTTTGTGACTGAATTAAAGCTCTGCTGTTTGGAGTGGATGATGTTACCTCATTCTCAGAAATGAGAGCAGCTGGCCACAGTGCAGATGCCTCCTAGCAAACCCTGCAGTGCACAGCACATCATTTAGCAGGGCTGTAAAAGAACGGACATTTATTAGGGGGCTTGGGAATGAAACTTAACATGTTGGCTTGGGTTTTAGCTGTCCGGATTTAATTTCCAGCTCCTCTGTTTTATTTTCCGCTTAAATAAATAAATAAATAAACCCTCTTCTCCTGCTGTCCCTAACTGCTTTTAGGCATGCCTTTGGGTAAATCCAGTGCTGAGAGCCTGGGGGCCTTGATGTGAACGTTGTTAACCTTGTGGTGATATAGCTTAACGGGCAAAAGACTTGGCAAAATCCCCTTTTGGGAGGATCTGGAAAAGGAGAGCAAGTAGCAGAGGTGTTAAAAATTACCTGATTGTTGGGAGTTTTCACTCTGAGGCCCAATGAAAACAAAACAATGTCATGAGCCCATCAAATAATGTGAATTTTACAAACACTTATGGCCATTTCCTGTTCCTTCCTCTTCCTGCCTTTCACTTGCTTCTCCTGGCCAGTTGCATAGGTTGGCACCATCAGGGTCGCCATTTCTTCCTCAGCTTTCCCTCTTTTCTTTCTTGGTGTAATACAGCAGGGGAGAAAAAAGTAATCGTTTTGGGGGCTGGGTTCCTCCATTTAGCTACAGGACAGATTTCCTTGATAATCCGATTGCTGAAATGGACCTTGAGCTCATTCCGGTGGTATCGCTCCGCTTTGCACTGGGGGAAGATGACACTGGCTGCTCTCACACAACCTCTCCTGGCTTTCCCACAGCACCCGAGTCTACCAGCAGTGGCGGTGTGTCAGTTATCTACCAAGAGATGATGGGGCTGAGAAATAGTTGATGCTAATTTTTTTAAATGCTCTTTCCCAAAGCAATGAAGAGCCCTTTGGAAAATACATTCCTGGGTGTGCCAGTCAGCAGTGCTCCAAAGCCTGTTGGGACCTGGGGAGTCCAGCCCTTGTTCCAAGGAATTTCTCACTTAATAATAAAATAATTTTCAAAATCCTAGGTTCTTCCATTCACGGTATCTAGAGCTAAGTACTTACATGAAGTAGCTAAACTTTAAGTAAAATACTTTTTAAAAGCATACAAATCTATGTACTTGAAATGTCAAAGTATTAAATCTGTAACTTTAATTTTGAAAGTCCTGGAAATGCACAAGGTGGCACTGGGGGTAGCAGGAGCTTTCATTCTTCCACACTTTGGAAATTTCCTTATGAACCCACTTTTATTTATCCGTCCCTCCCTGTGCTAGGTAATACACCTGCAGTACTTTCCACAAGAAATGTGGATGCTTAACAGCTGTTGCAGGGTTTTTTATCCCTGTATTTGGTGTTTTAGGCTTGAATGGGCTGACCCTTTGCCTTCCCTATGCTGGTGAAGGACAGCTTATGCCAGAAGTGTGCAGGGCTACTAAAGCAAGTGCTGTGGTCAGCACTGGCCAGGGGACACCAGGGAGCAGGATGGAGCTTTCTGGGCTCCCCACAGCCATCACACATGAGCCAGACCAGCCTCCATGCTTGCTGTGGCTTTGCTCCCTGCCTGTGCCACTGCCATACTTTTCAAAGTGTGCTTTTTTTTCTCCTGGCTGAAAGATCCTCACAGATTTTGGGAGAGCAGCCAGTACAGGGGAAGGCATACACACCTGTGTCTGGCACCAGCTGTCGGAATACTGTTAATCTGTCACTTCGGCATTAATTATGTTGGGCAGGACCAGAGCAGCAGAGTCGTCAGGTGGACAGGGTCCCAGCATCACACTGAGAAACCAACAACAGCATGAGAAAAGCACTAAGGACTGTACTCTGGCTCTGGGAGCTAATGTGCTGGCTTCAGTGGGAGCCATGTGCACGTAACTGCTGTTCGGGGACAGGTCCAAAAGTTTAGTATTTTTCTGAACAAAGTATAAAAGTAATTATGAACTTGGCCCAGGGCACCTGGGACTGAATTCATAACCATCTGGTGTTAATGGCTTGAAGTGAAACTTAAGGCATAGGTTTCATTTCACTTATTATTCATCAGGAAAGTCCCTGGCCAGTGACTGCAACTTTCCTCGTTAGTAGTGGAGCTTTGTACCTGCTGCCTCACTGAGGGGCAGGGAGGATCCAGCGTATCCTATGCTGCTCTGCTTTCACTTTAACCAAGTGGCACCGAGCATTGACAGTGGGGGATGGCTTGGAGACCATACAGGAATTATTATGAAGCTGAATATAATATGTATCCTCCCACCATTTTAACTTCACTGATGTTAAATTTAATCTTCCTAAAAAACCCTGCCCAGAAGCCTACTGAATGGCTGTGGTCCTGAGACAAAGAAGTTTCTACGCTGAAATGTACTCCTGATGCTTCTTATCTATGAGCAAAATCTGATTTTAGGCTCTTTGTTAACACAAATCTCAGCCTCTTCCCTGGCCAGGACTGGATGGAAGAACTATTTGGAAAGCATATACTTTTTTTTTTTTTTTTATTCCAACTGAAATTTTGCAGCTGAAGCCTTTCCATCCCAAATGGCAGGCACAGGTTTTCAGTTTCTGAAGGGACCCCTCATTGGTCTCCTAATTGCTCTGCACTGCAGGTCTCCATCTGGAAGCAACCAGTGGCCAATGCTAAGAGGTGTGGCAGGCAAACAGAGACACAGAAGATGATGACATGATCAGTTATGTTGGTAAGGGGAACCATACGGATGACAAAAGTGGCAGACAAGATATCAGGCTTCTCTGAGAACTCCTAGAGAAACTCCCCTGCTTACTAAAAATTCTGATGGAGACTTTTTGTCATTGCTGTGCAGCCCAGAAGGTAGAGAGTGAGAGTTACTCACTAAGTATGAGAAATTGGAGTAAGAAATGGCACAAAACTATTCTACCTGCTTTTGCAGAGACATTCAGGCATCTCCATTAAAAATTTTTGGGTCAAAACTCAAATGTTCCGCATGGGAAATGTCTCTTTTCTCTGCTTTCCTTTATGTAGTCCAAGTATAGCAGCTGAAATGCAGCTTGTGAGGGCCATCAGAGCTGTGTTCCTGGACTGAAATAAATTTTCAGCAAAAATACTTCAGTTCTTCTTTTCACCAAAAAAAAAAAAAAAATCTCAGCACAGGAGGCACTTATCTTGCTTATCTTCAAACTGTTCAGACTGCCCAGTAACCATGCAACAAAAGAAGCAAGAGCAGTAGAGATGAACAGCAAATTTTAAAACCTACTTTCCCTCCTTTCCCCCTGCAATCGCAGCTTCCCGAAGTCTTTGCTGGCCATTCCCCCTTAACACAGTGTCGGACCCTCTCCCCTTAGGGCAGATTGTCATGGCATGGAAAATGCTGGGGTTTGTGGTTCTCCATGTAAGTCCTAATTACTGCAATCACACTGAGGAGCTTATCTGACCCTTACCCTTCACAGTATGTGGCCACACTGGTGGTCTTCCTTGATAGTTTTGAACAAGTTTCACATGAGGTCACCCTTGGCAGGGCAGCATGGTAGCTTGCTGTGTATTTGCTGTAAACTGTCCCATCTGCACGCTACCGATGAGTTTGCCCTTGGTTTTTTGCATGTTTCTTCCTCTGAGGTGTGGAACTCAAGATGATGCAGAAATTTCCATAAGCAAAATTTTGGTCTGTAAGGTGCAGAGCATAACCACACCAATCGCTTTCTTTCTCGTCCTCATCCCTCTTCTAAGACAGTCACGCAAAAGGCCATACTATGCTCTGCTTTTGTTCATGGGTGCCGTGGCTTACTCCAAGACCTGTTGGCGAGGAAGCACCCTCATGCCAGCACAGCCTCAGCTTTACATCACTGTTCAACTAGCACCTTTGTCTTCTCCTGCAGTTTTTGCCAGAATTCTGAAGGCTCCTCAATCTCAAAATATCACCTTTGGGTCTGTGGTGACACTGCGGTGTGCAGCGACCGGCCTTCCAGTCCCCACTGTCACCTGGCTGGAAAATGGGAAAGCTGTAAGTGCCTCTTTTTTCATGCTTTTGGCTCTGGAGGGCTGCTAGCCTTGGAAGGTTAGCCCAAGAATTAAAATGTGGGGCTGGGAGCCAGCGCCCATGGTTTCTATTTCTGCCTTACTTAGTGCTCCGCTGTGCAATCAAGCTGAGCCTGCCTCACCTCACGGCTGCAGTTTTGTCCTCTGCAAAGCACTGTGCCTCTTCTCCAGGGTGTTGCATGTGTTAATTTGTTGGGGTCTGGAAAGACCAAGATGTTTGGATGCTTACAACCTTCCTCTGAGCCAGGATTTCTAGGACTTTATAACAGGTTTAAATATTTTCTGCAGCTACTTTTCCTCTCCTTTCTCCTAATGTGGTAACAATAACATGGCAAAATTGCTTATTTGACAAAATAACACAATCTGAGGTAGTTAGGTAGAGCAAACAGTCTTGAGGCAAAATACCTGTGGGACAGCATATATATACAACATATTTGCAGATTAATAGATCTGAAATTTTCTAGACTGGCCTAGGTGATGCGCTGAAATATGTCACCAATTTATTCCTGGCTAGAAGCATGTCCTCAAGAAAGGCACACCCTCTTCAGTGGCAGGTACCAAGAGATGCAAATTCACTGCTTCTCACAGGAAATTGTTCTGTGGTCTAATTATCCTGACCATTTAAAATAGGTGCCTGCTTTGAATTCATCTGGCTTTCAGGTCTGTGTGTAGGCTATTGGAATGCCTTCCCTTCAGCTGAACTGAAGAGCCTCTTGACGCCTGATATTACCTCCCCAGGAGTGAGTGGTGCACCACAGTCACAGCAGCTCTGGAGCCTGAGCTTGCTTCAGGTTTCCTCCAGTCTTCACACAGTTATAGTGAAGATGTTTTATACTTTCTGTGGTCCTCCAACAGCTTTTTTAAGGATGTGAGTCCCAGGGCATGATGCTGTCGAGGCAGGTGGAGCAGCCACTGCGTGCAGGTTGGTAATTTGCCTACACTCCTTCTCACTGACCGCCTGTCAACCCCAAGTCCTTCTGGTCACTGTCTGGCCAAGGCCATTCCTGTAGACTTGCTTGTCCAACAGGACCAATAAATCCTCTTGCTCCAGTTCCTTATTTCAGGAGGCTATCTCCATCCTGGTTTGTGTCTCCTCTTTCCATGTATTAAAATACATTATTAAAGAAGCTGGGTTAGTCTGCAGGCTGTCTTTCTTGCCTTTCTTGTCTCCTCTAAACCTTATTGTGTCATCCAGTCTGATTGGGGCTAATTTTCTAATTTTCTGTTGCTCGGGAGAGCGGGAAAGGGAGCAGATCAGCCTTACTGCAGAGTCCCATGGGCCCTCAGTAGTTTCTGGTGATAATTATTTTGAGACAACTGCAGGTGTTCATTCAAGACTTCTTCCCCATTGGGGAAGAAACCTTTCAGGTGGCTCTGGGGTTCCTGGCAAGGGCAGGGTATTTCCGGAGCAGAGACCAATGCTCTGCCACATTCCCAGCTGTGTGTAGGTCCTGCAGAGAGCTGTGTGCAAGACGATGCTCAGCTCCTGCCTGGGGCCAATGCCTGGCTGGTCAGATCTGCTCTGTCCCATTCCTGTCTGCAAGGCAAAGCCCAGTCCAAGGAGGGTGGTGCTCCAGACTGCCTCATCTTAAATACAGCAAGGAGACCTAAACGTGAGCCCGTCTCTGGGAAAGTCAGGCCAGGAAATATGTGGACTGGAGTGTGTGCATTTGAGGGCTGGCTCATGAGCAAGCAATGGTGAGTCATTTGAAGATTCAATGTGCCTGCGGCATTATAGTCTCTGAACGCCGACCTGTAGTTGTCCTGAGGTTTAGAGTGGGACTCTGCTGAGGCTGTTGATTTGCCTTTGAAGAGAAGGATGGAAACAACCCTCTGCAGCAGCTGCTCTGCCTACCTAAACAGAAATGCAATTCTTTTTCCTCCTACTGTGCACCATGGGGAATCATGGACCTTAAAATGTAGTTTTCAGCACCGCAAAGAATTAGCCAGATATGAAGATGTGAAGAGGTCTCTGCTTTGGTGGTGGATGATGTGGTGTTTTAAAAGGCTAAAAATAGACCTGCTGGTAACAGAATCTCAGGGAACATATTCAAAAAAGGAAGGGAATCAATTAACACATGGCTTGAGGTACCCAGCAGAGAAAACAACAGCTAGCAGGTGTGAAAGTCCTAGGCACAACTACCTGACACTTTCACCAGTGATTTTGCATGGTGCATGTGACCACATGTACCGCTTGTACTGCTTGCAGCTGTCTGAGTGCCCTTTTCCCCCCATGGCACAAGCTGGAGGAGGAATCCTGCCTCTCCGTCCTCTCCAGGCAGTCCAGTGATGCCAGGAGTGGGGCTAACAGGATGAGGTATGTCTGAGGCCTGACAGGTAAGGAGGGAGAGAGGACTGAATCAGCCCAAGCAGCTCAAAACTAGCTGCCACCTCTCCCGGGTGGATGCTAGGAGGCAGAGGCAGGCTGTAAAGAGATTCCTCCTTTCAACCAGGAAGGTCCCAGCAGTGTCTTAGTGCTGAGTGGTTTCTGAGGAGAAAAAAAAATTTAAAAATAAATCTGACCAGCACTGTAACAAAAGAGAAACTTGTGAAAAAATATCCCCTGAGGTTCCATCCACCTAAACCTTCTTCACAGCATAAGGCCAAAAAACATCCCTGGTCCCTGCACTTGCACAGTGACCAGCATACCACCTATCCCTGATGCAATAGTTTCAATAATTTTGTTGGTCTGGTTATTTAGTGATTTCTTCCCAGGCACATGGCAAATCAAACATATTATCTTCAGCATTTTCTTTTCAGAGAGGAATGAATCTGCTTCCTGAAGATGTGATACAACATGGATGCCTCCCTTCTTACTTTTTCAATTGTCACTATTAATACCTTTTGGAGCAGACACAGATCCCATTGAAATCATCTTTCTACTAGCTTCCAGGGAGGCCAGATTGATCTGTCTACCCTCTCAGAGAGATGTGTAGGTAGAATGCTTTACTGGGATGGATCCAGAGAGACAGCTCACACTGTCGTTAGGTCCAGGTCACACTGGTGGGATCCACAGGCAACCACATCTCACTTGAATTGCACTTGATGCTTCCTATCAGTATGAAGGGTAGAGGAGGCAATGCTGCTCCTTCCTACTGCCTTTGCCAGGTAGGGTCTTGGTGTACCATGTCCTCCTACTTTAATGAGTGCCATATGAGCAGGAAAGACTTGAGGATAAAATCAAGCCCAGCTGGCCCAAATCAGCAGGCTCCAAGCTCGTTTACCTTGGAATTTCTGACCTGGGAAAAGAGCTGGCCAAAATCACCACATCTGCAGCCCCTTCCACGTCTCCAGGTGTGAGATAAGAAAATCTATCAGGTATCTGCCAAAATGTTGGAGACAGAGCGCTTGCTTTGCTTATGACTGCTCTAGAAATGTGGCGGTGGTTACATTAATACAGAATTAACAACTTCCAAACTATTTTCTTTTCTCCCTCTGTATAGCCAGGGTCTACAAAGCCACCTCATGCTCTTCCTTCCTAAGGCATGAATAGGCAAACAATCTACTAGAAGAGATCCTGGAATAATCAGCTAGATCAATTACGTGAGCAAAACTGAGACTATAGCCCTCTGGAAATGAGAATTAATTGCAAAAGAATTGCTGATGTGTGAAATAGGAGAAGTCTTTAACTTTTGCTTTTGTCTGTGAAGTCAGCTGCTATGAAAACACCAAAATAAAGCCAGAAGCTCCAGCTCTCTGCCGCTTCTATCCACTTGCTTCATCTTTCTCTGGCAATTTAAATGTCTAGGGGCTAGGCCTTTAGTTTTTTCCTTGGTTTGTTTGTTTGCCTTTGTTGGAAACACCACCGCACTGGGCTTTTCACTCTCTTAGGTTTCTGCAGGGTCTATTGTAGAAAGTGTCAAGGACAGAGTGGTTGACTCCAGACTGCAGGTGTATGTCACCCGACCTGGCCTGTTCACTTGCATTGCCACGAACAAACACAGCAAAACTTTTGGAGCCGCAAAGGCCGCAGCAACCATCAGTGTTTCAGGTATGCTGGGAAAAAAATGTTCATTAACTTTTTACCCTTGCAATGGCAGTCCTAGCTTTCTTGCTGGGGGAAGGGAAAGGGGTGTGAAGTACTCTGGAGGAGGAAGGAAAGCCTCGGAGAGCTGACAGTGTGTAGGGGGCTAAATTTGAGTACAAGAGCATCCCCTGCCAGGCTATTTCCTCGTATATTCTTACACTTTGGAGACTGGCACAGCTGTCATTTCCTGAATGTTTGATGCCATCTTGTACTTTGTGTCCCAGAAGGACACTTGGTAAGTTCATCCATGCTGAGGAAGTTGAGGCTGTGACCCAGTGTTGGTATCACCTAACATCAAGGTGAAAATAGCTTTCATGAGCACTTTGGCTTCTCAGGGCATTGCATCCAGAATGCCGGGGATTCCTGTCAGAGTAATACCCTGCCGTGTCTGGGGTAACCTGTGCTCTCAGGGATGTCTCCCACATGGGGAAAAGATGGTCCAAAGAGGAGGAATACTAATAGTCTGAGCTAGTTGACAGCATTTGTCACACCAAGTGGGCTGCTTGTGTCTTCCCTCTTTGGACAGGCAGGAAGGTTTAGTAAGAGGAAAGAGGAATAAGCTGGGACTCCAGACACAGGGTGGTAGCTTTGGTCCTGCTGTCAGCCAGGCATGCATCTGCCTGTCCTCTGTGCCTCAGCTTCTGCTCTGTTGAGAAAATAACCATGCCCTTTCTTACACTGGTCATTGAGACCTAGCAGCAAGCTCTGCCCCATAAGAAGCTCAGTGCTTTTGCTTTTAACCCAGGCAAGGCGCTGCCCCACAAGGCAGATCTACAAATGCAGTAGGGAGGGCAGGTGTTTTAGGCTGGTGGGAAAAGCTTCAATGCCTGTGTTCAGCAAGAGTGGAGCAGCCCCTCCCAGAAGTGAGCAGGAGCAGCACCCTCTGGATGTGAGCAGGAGCCTGCCTCGGCCTCGTCCCAGCTCTGGAAGGATCCGTGGCAGAGGTGTCCTGGTCCCTGGCCGATGCTCAGAACTTGGTCCCTTTGCCATCACAGCCTAGCTCCACGTGGTACTGCAAGCTGGGGGCAGGGCCCTGTGCCTGCCCTGCTCCTCCAGCCCTGGTTTCTCTCACCTCTTACAGCTGCTGCCTGCAGTAATGCGTGCCTGGGTGACTTGAACAGAGGATGCCAGTTCTGTAGGACCCAAAGGATAAGGGGAAAGGTGTGGGTTTAGGGTGCAACTACCCAACTCAGCAAGAACTGCAGTCAGCAATTCACTTATAGAATCATAGAATGGTTTGGGTT